GGCCCCGGCCCTCCGCCGGCCGCGCTCCAGGGATGGAGCGGGAGCTCCGGGAGCTGCGAGCCGAGCGGGAGAGGGAGCCACAGTTTCCCGAGGCGGATGCTGGAGCTCTCGCTTAGGTCTGGTCTGAGGAGGAGGGTCAGGTGAAGAGAGAAGAATTTTTTTCCTTTCTTTAATTTCCTTCTTTTCCAGAGCTGCTTGTTTCCTGCTTCTTTCAAAACCGAAATAGACAGCGATGTGCAGGGGGGGGACCCGAGAGGTGGTGTTTTGTTGTTGTTGTTGTTGTTCACTTGTGGGGCCTTGTTATGGGTTTTGTTATTTTTACCCTCGTACATTGGCGAACTTTTCCCACCGCCCATTCCCTTCATTTTTGCCCCCTTTTTGCCTGGCACTGAATGGGCTGCTCTGATTTTGCCATCATCAGCTTCACGGTTTTCTCTTTTCTTTTAAAACTGTGTTTTCTTTGTGCGGCAAACAGTCTTAATATCCATTCAGCACTCTCCGCCCCCCCCTCCCATTCTTCTCCCCCCCCATACCCCTTGCCACAGATATTGAGACCAGGGGCCTCTTCGCTGGACTCTCTTTGCTGTACTGGAAAAGAGATTTTTTTTTTTTTTTTTAAGTCTCTCTCCTCAATCTTTTTTGGGTTTGTGTGTGTGTGTGTGTGTGTGTGTGTGTGTGTGTGTGTGTGTGTGTGATTTAAACCGGATGCAGGGCATCTGTGATACTTGGGTTAGTAGTTATTGACAGTGCTTTATCCTTCTTGTGGAGATGGGAGGGGTGGCAGTGAGGTTACGTTTCACTTTGATGAACCTCCCTCCCCACAGGAGAGTGTTAACAATTTTCATTGTGATTATGAGACTTTGTGTGTGATGAACAGGGAAAGGACACAAGGAAGCTTTGTGAGAACTCAGTTCACGGTGTTATTTGTGACAGTTATGGTACTTTAAGAGTTTTTTTTTTTTTTTTAATTCTCTTTTCGTTTTCCTTTGAGAGTTGAAATTGAAGTCAAGTTGTTCATAAAGAATGTATGAAGCTTCTCAACTTGAAACGTGTGTATATTTCACTTTCTTTGTGGTTGTTAAGATCTAGGCATGTGTGTACTTAACATATTCTTTTTATTTACTTTTCGGTTTTCTTTGGACAGTGACTTGAACCTGCTCAGGAGAGATAACTTTTTCCTTTTTAAGTTATTCTTTAAAAATATTATTTTTCTCCGTAGATTAGAATACTCATCAGTTCTTAACTTATAATTTCTTGGTTAGAGTTAACCCAGTTTTACAGATCCCCTAAATTTGTTCATTTGCAGCCTAAGTTTCCGTTAAAAGATTGTCATTAAAGAGTTTTGATAATGAATATGTGCTAAAACAAATACGATGTACTATTATCGTTGCACGTATTGAAGCTTTTAATTTACAATTTTAAACTACTTACTTAAATAATCTTTCTAACAGCAAACATATATTGATTTAACTGACAGAGCAGGCTTTGAGTAATGTGACAGTATTAATTATCCTGAGATTGTCAATGAGCAGGTTGGGTAATTACAATGCTATTAAGGCTAATATTTTGAAAAACCAGAATTGAGGTTTTAAAAAACTTTTCCTTTTTCAATTCATTTCTTTAGGAATTGCTATTTTAAGTGAAGACTATATTTTGTTCTGAAAGAAGTCTTTCTCAGCGCACTCAGATTTCCTTATAACTATTCATCCTCTCCCCAAACTGGGATTCATGCAAATCTCTAATACTAACTTGTATTTTTTTTTTCTGTTCAGATGAGTGTCAAATGCCTGAACACTTTTGGACGGTGAAGCTCCTGGGTCCTATAAACTCTCTCTGAAGTTAATAGGAGTTTTGCTGTCTTGGGACAGTTTCAGACCTTATGCCATTTTACATAATAGGTTTTCAGTCAAGTAGATTATATGCTATAATGTTCTGGTTTAATATTTTTATTTTCAGTGTTTGAGTACTTTTTTGAGACATTTCACTAATTATATATATCTCAGATTTCCTTTATTTAGATTTTCATTCACAAGTTGATTTGAGAGCAGAACTTAAACTGAATCACCCATTTTTTAAAGCATGTATATGGGATAAAAGTTGCTGTTAGTACTACTTTGGGCTAAAGTAAGTGGCATTATTCATATGGATTGATTAAATAATAATTAGAAATACTAATAAATGGTAAATTTAAAAATTAAACTCAAGAGTAGATGCTTAGCATTTAGTTTATTCTTTCTGTAATAGTTTTCTGAGGGGGGATTGTATTATGTATTGGTATTCTACTGTATTTACAGTTTTTAGACTAATAGAAATCTGTAAAAGTGATCATGCTCTGAAACTAAAACTATGAAAAAGAAGTCACTTGTAACTTGTTTTGAGTACCTGATTCAATGTATGTCATAATGCTTATCTCAGTCTTTTTTTATTGTTTTGCCTATGAATTAAATGATGTAGGCATAGTACATGTATATGGTAAATTAGAAGTTTTGCATCATTTCCTGATCTTTTTATTGTACGGGGTAGTTATGCTTAATTTTAAAAATACTGTTTTATATTTCCAGTATTCAAACAGTCTTATACTCTACTTAGGTCCTTAAATAAAAGGTTTATAATTTATAAATTTAACATACTTTAATCCTAAATGAAAATTTTTTTACCCTAAAGAAGTTTTTTATGGTACTTTAAAAACCATTAAATAGCAATTAAAAATGAATGAATATTAAATCAAGATGGATTTCATACATTGTTTAAATTATATGTTACTTTTTGGTAACATTTTTCATCATTCTGAGAAAGTTTATATTATGTTGATATTCTCCAACTGAAGAAATCAGGTGAAATATAATGATTTTTGCTTTTCAAATTTAGTGTGTATGTGTGTGTGTGTGTTTAAAAGGGTGGATACAGCAGCAAATGTATGGGAAGAGTTTAAAAAAATAAAATAAAAATCCTCAAAACTTTCCTGAACACTCTAATAGGAATGTTACTTTGTTCTTGGTATTCATAGTGAGACTATGTTACAAGAAATGAGAATACCAAAGAAGTAAACTTTTAACATTTTGAAGAGGCTGCTGGTTATTTTGTTTTTATGTGGAGCACTTGGCTAAAAATCTCTAGTTGCTCACAGTTACTTTAAAAATAAAGTTTCCCTAACTGAATCGTTTACCTTTAACTCTTTGGTATATATTCCTAGTGGCCATTGCAAAGTGGATTTTAAATTCCTCTCTATTCATAGGTGCATAGTGTTCCCATATTTTGGAAATCCAAGATTAAATGGATTTGACTAAATCTAGCTTGTTAGGGACAGATGGCTGCTTTAAACAGGTGTCACTTTCATTTTTTTGTTTTTTAATGCATTGTGTTGGGACTTCCAGTGGTTCACAAAAGGGCTGTCTAAAGCAGGTGGCATCCTTTGCTTTTGTTGTTAGTAAAATCTTTTAGAATTAATCATTTTCCTTGGAAGCGGGGCTTTTTTTTTTTTTTTTTTTAAAGTAAAAGTTTTGAACTACTGGAGATTTGTGATTTAGCTAACATAACTTTATTCTGAATATCAATGTGTTTTTAAGTGGTAGAACTTGCAGATTCTTTCACAAAACACCAAATCTTACAACTAATGGTAAATTCCTTTTGAATCCAGAAAAGCACATAGGAGCACTTTACATACCCAATGAGTCCAATTTATCTGAAGCAAAAAGCCAAGGCTGATTTGAATAAAGTGAAATTTGGTTAACGTTACAGATTAACTTTTGCCATCCAAAACTGAAATACTTTTTTCACAGTATTATTTTAATTTGATGTATGTTGGAAGCAGATATTGTTTTTGTTGGTTCAATATTTTAAATGTTTTCAAATGACAACATTTTCCTGACCTACTTTGATTGCTGCTATTAGTAATTTTTAAAAATGAAAATTGTTTTTAAGCATTAATTATTAAAAATATGTACTAGACTAAAAAAAATCATCCTGTTGATTTCTAAGGTCCATTTTTACTCTGTAATTCTGTCTTTTTTGTGGGAATTTTATATGTCTTATAACAGATGCACCAGAGGGTGCTGTACTATCTGCAACATGAGATTATTATCACTAACAATGTGAATCCATTAGAACACTTGTTTAAAGAAAAAAATTAATTATACTACATGCATTTAAGCATATAATAGCCTTATTTTTATGAAGTTTAAAATTTAATTTACTGTCTTAATTAGTAGTTTTATGTCAAAGCCTATCCTTGTATTAATATATTAGCACAACATATAACATTATCAAGATTGGAATCTGGGCATAGTCTGAATGTTAGCATTATTCCTACAGACATAACATTGATCATCTTATGCAGATATTTTAATCTCAATTTCAAAAACTTAGTTTAACTGGAGAATCATATTGTTTGGCTGCGTAGCTTTATACACTGATTTAGATATTGTTGGCCCATATAAATAATTGTTTAGTCTTACAGCACTTTTATATGGAATAGTTAATGATATGGTTTTAATGGTATAATTATAATTTAAAGTGTAAATGGCTATAGTAGTTATCAGGCTAGTTAATGAACAATAATAAAATAATATGAAAAATTAGCAAGATAAGGCTGTAATCCCAGCATTTTGGAAACCCTACGTGGGAGGATTTCTTGAACCCAGGAGTTCGAGACCAGCCTGGGGAACATAATGAGACCTCGTCTACAAAGTCAAAAGTTAGTCAGGTATGGTGGTGTGTGCCTATAGTCCCAGTTACTCAGGAGGCTGAGGTGGGAGGATCACTTGAGCCCAGGAGTTCAAGCCTGCAGTGAGTCGCGATTCTGCCATTGCACTCCAGCCTGGGAGACAGTGAGACACCCAATTCAAAAAAAAAAAAAAAAGTAAGATGAGATAATTCAGTTATTACTTCATGCTGTTAGAATAGGCTGTTTGGGTTATTTAATTTGAAAGGGAAAGTTTTTGTTTCCCTGCCTTACTCTATGGCACATACTTTTAAACTAGGTCTGATCTTACATTGCTTTCTGTATTTTAGTATTTATTCAGTGGGATGTGAAGAAGAACTGTTTAATCCAGTCTTTTGCTCTACTTCTTGCATCATTGACTCTGACAGCAATATATACAGTACTCTAAAAGACAAATACTGAAATGTAATATCTTCCTCAAGTAAACTTAGAAAGATATAGTTTCATTATACAAATTTTTAAATCTTGATAAATAGTTATAGTAGTTATCAGGCTAGTTGATAAACAATAATAAAATAATATGAAAAATTAGCAATATACTATAATCCCATACTTACCGGCAATCAGCTAATTGTGATATTAAAAAAATAACCTTATAAATCATAATAGTGCATATGTGTTGAAATGCGTCTAATCCAAAACATTAATAGATAAGGAACAATATTTTTAAATACTGTTCTTGCCAGAATAGGCTAGGCATTTAAAAAATATATAGTCCTACAGTTTGCCAGTTCACTTATGCCATTGAGATTTTAACAGTGTATTAGATGACGTTTTATTGTTTAAACATTTTTCTATTTAAAATTTGTTTCATATCGAATTACAAGATGTACTTAATTCAGTTAAGTGAATTGTATTTAGAGTACCAATAAATAGGTACATGTTTTGTTTTTTTTAAATGGATGGAGTAAATATATTGGTTAAAAACACAGTCTATGGAGTCAGATTTCAGATAATCTTACTAGCTGTGTTACCTTGGACAAGTTATTTACCTTCACTTAGCCTCAGTTTTCTCATTTGAAAAATAGGATCAAATTTGCCTGCTTTGTGAGGTTTTTGAGGATTAAAGGAGATAATTTATGTAATGTACTTGGCTCATTATTTGACACAGAATACATGCTGACTTTATTATTTGGGAAGGCTGATATGCTCCACTGGACCATCTCCCCCCTACCCCCCCACCCCCAGTTGGAGTCTGATGCTAAGGCTGGAACGTAGTGTCATGATTACAGTTTGGCTCACTGCAGTCTTGACCTTCTGGGCTCAGGTCATCCTTCTGCCTCAGCCTCCCTAGTAGTTGAGACTACAGGTGTTGGCCACTATGCCTGG